ATCATCTTCACTGCCATATTCACAGCGTTTCGGCCGTTGTACGCTCCGGCCTTCACCAGATGATTGGGATTTCAAACCGAACTCTTTATTTTGTCCAACGGGATAGATTGTTCTAGTTCCACGTTCCATGCCTCTTCCGGATGTCTCAGTTATTTCCATTTAACTCAACTCTCCAAGTTTTTAGTTCACAACTGCTGAAATCGCAACTCTTTGGGTCTAGTCACTGGATCTAAACAACGTCTTTATCCACTAGGCCATGTGTCCTTGAGGACATCTTTGTTTGGAACTTATAAACCTAATGTCTCGGCAACCATTTTTACCAGTGCTCATATTGCAGTTTTTGTTATTTCATTTTTTACCAAAGCTTAGATTGCAATTTATGTTGCTATTCATTGCTTCGAAATTCCAATCACCTGAAGAAGGCCGGGGCGTACATCGGCCGAAACGTTGTAAATATGGCAATAAAGATGAGGATAACAGTCCGAATAATGTAAATAATGCAAATAATCATTATACCTCATCGCAGTGATATAGGCAAATCTAAATTGAAAAAAAAATATTAATTTTAGTTTTAAAATATCACAGAATAGCATTTTTTCTAACATGGCGTGGGTGTTTTTTTTTATGCCGTGCTGAGTGATCAATTGACAGACTGTTGTTTGATAAGTTTAAACAAGGTTGGCATAAGTGAAAATTAATTGAGGAATAGAATGTGAATGTCTTTCTTTTTATATAAAGGCTTCGGTTCGAAATTTCAGTCACCTAAAGAAGGCCGGGGCGTACAACGGCCGAAACGTTGTGAATATGACAATGAAGATGAGGATAACAGTCCGAATAATGTAAATAATAAAAGTAATCATAATATCTCGTGTCAGAGATATAGACAGATATTGAAAGGCGCTTAATTACAAAAAAAAAAAAAACTCAGTCGGATAGAGAAAATATTAATGAGAAAAAGAGGATTTATATTAATTGGTAAAGTTAAAAAATAACCCTTGGTGGGAGACAGCGAAGTTTGAGGTATTGTTAATGTTCTGAACTGTCTGGAGTTGATAGATCAACGTCATAGCAGAACCGTATGTTTAATGATCAACGCTGAATGAAAGTCGTTCGGATAAAATTGTTGAATCTGGTACAGCCCTCGGAAAATGATGATAAACTATGGCTGTGCCATCGAGGGAAGTTTGTTTCACATATCCAAAATTGTATTAAATCTTCGTATGTTGCCCGAAATATTTAAATGGTTGCGTGGTATCTCTGAATCCAGCGTCGTCCTATCACTCTCTGCTGAGAGTAACTTACACCGCTCTTAGCTATCCACTCCGAACTGAACCGTAAATGAATAATCTTTCATTCGTGTAGACAGTCTTGCGAAACTCTTTTCAGACTGTCACGGGATTCAAATACCATTTCTCTGAACAGTTGAAAATAATCCAGAAGATGACCTTCCTTCACAGACTTTTTTTTTTTATCTCCAGAAAATTAGTTCTTTCATTAACCTGAGTTAAATACAACCTCGCCCCAACTAGGCTTCATTGCTGGTAATAATTTAGTAGGCGTCCTGGGTAAGACGATAAACTACATCTAGCAGCAAGGCTTCTGATCAGGAGTTTTTGAGGCGCTTGGAACAACCATCTTAATTGCTGGTGTTCCCAGGTTCCCGGGGTGGTAGCAGCTTTTAGGGTCCCGGTTATGGGCAAATAGTTAACCCCCAAACTGGAGTTAAAACACTATGAAAGTGTAAAAAATAGTATTTAATGCCATCAATATAATTTTATAAAAAATTATTACCAGCAATGAATTTTTTGAAGAAAAAATTATCACCAGCAATGAATTTTTTGAAGAAAAAATTATCACCAGCAATGAATTTTTTGAAGAAAAAATTATCACCAGCAATGAATTTTTTGAAGAAAAAATTATCACCAGCAATGAATTTTTTGAAGAAAAAATTATCACCAGCAATGAATTTTTTGAAGAAAAATTATCACCAGCAATGAATTTTTTGAAGAAAAATTATCACCAGCAATGAATTTTTGAAGAAAAATTATCACCAGCAATGAATTTTTTTGAAGAAAAATTATCACCAGCAATGAATTTTTTGAAGAAAAAATTATCACCAGCAATGAATTTTTTTGAAGAAAAAAATTATCACCAGCAATGAATTTTTTTTTTAAAAAATTATCACCAGCAATGAATTTTTTGAAGAAAAATTATCACCAGCAATGAATTTTTTGAAGAAAAATTATCACCAGCAATGAATTTTTTGAAGAAAAATTATCACCAGCAATGAATTTTTTGAAGAAAAATTATCACCAGCAATGAATTTTTTTGAAGAAAAAATTATCACCAGCAATGAATTTTTGAAGAAAAATTATCACCAGCAATGAATTTTTGAAGAAAAATTATCACCAGCAATTTTTTTTGAAGAAAAAATTATCACCAGCAATGAATTTTTTGAAGAAAAAATTATCACCAGCAATGAATTTTTTGAAGAAAAAATTATCACCAGCAATGAATTTTTTGAAGAAAAAATTATCACCAGCAATGAATTTTTTGAAGAAAAAATTATCACCAGCAATGAATTTTTTGAAGAAAAATTATCACCAGCAATGAATTTTTGAAGAAAAATTATCACCAGCAATGAATTTTTTTGAAAAAAAATTATCACCAGCAATGAATTTTTTTGAAGAAAAAATTATCACCAGCAATGAATTTTTTGAGTACAATTTTGGGGATTTTACTAATTCATGGCCTACCAGGAATCCCTTCAATGAGTCTATCGGAACCTTTTACAATCAATCCGTGGACTCTTACTACCACTGGAATTATTGATGTCCTTATGTACCACATTTTTTTTTTTAGATTTCTACTTCAAGATACTTTTATTTTGACAGTTTTGGGAGATTTTCAAAAATATGTTGAAATCTGCATGTCAATAAGAATTATTATTATTATTTATTTAATCATTTCATCCCATGTAAGCCAACAGAGCTGCCAATACGCAAGGGTTACTAAGTGAAAGAAAATACAAATTAAAATTTAAGAACAGAGAACAATAAAAGAACATAATTTAAGAGGACTGAAGATAATGATTGACATTGCATTTAAATTTTTGAAGATCAAAGTTGACTGGAAAACAATTAGCCAGAAGAGAGTTCCACAAGTGAGAAGTGCGAAACTGTTTTAGCAACTACGGTTGCATGTAACCATTTCGACTATATACCTAGTATTTCGCTTAAATTCATAAAGTCTAGGGATCAAAGAGGAGAGTTCGTCAGAACAATTAACATGAAATTATTTATAGAAGAATAGGGAAACTATATTACGGCGGTTGGAAAGTGACTGATGTCGAGATGCCAGGTCAGGTTCAATAGCATTGCAGATTCTTCTTTGGAATATTATGCTAATTATGATTATGAAAATATGAGATAAACACCGTGAAAAATTCTATGGATGTATCATTTATTATACTGATTTTTTCAGTCTGGTTATGTCTCGTTTCCATATTAAAAATTATGACAAGCTTTTTTCTGTAAACTTTAGCTAAGATTATGACAAGAAAAATCTGTTAACTTTAACCTTTGTGTCCGCAAAAACAAAAACAAAATGGTATCAAAAGGATGGTTGACCCCTTGACACTGCCGTGAAACTCTTTAAAATAAGTGTGAATGGAAAAACTGTCCTTTTTGACACTTTGTTTTTAGGGTATTCTGGCGGGGGTGGGGATATATTTTTTTTCTTTTTGCGGTCACGAAGCTCTAAGTTTCCCCACCCTACACTTTTTTCTTTTGATTTGTTTTTCTTTTCGAAAATAAATAAACAAATAAAAATTAGGGAGGTATTTTATTATTAGATATGCCGGAACCGTTTTCGGGAGCTAAAATGAGAGATATCCTTTATTTCTGCGACTGAGAAATTGCATATTTTGTTTCGTATCTTCCAAGGATTTCTTTTTAATTACATGCATACCCCAGTATTATGGACCACCCTTTAACAGATATCAGAAGCAACGGACAAAATCTGGAACAACCGACTCAGTTTGGAAGTCACCGTACGCTACGGACAGAGTTGTGGCAGCCCTGGATATAAGCCGCTTTTTCGCGAGCTGACCGCTAGTTAGCGGGCCGTTACTTTGCTTACATCAGTGTAACTACACGTGTAACTTATTGCTCAATGAGTTTTCCCCTTTTTTATTTGCCAGTGTGTTTAAGTGGTTTTATATTCATCATTTTCTATAAACATGTCGTCTGGAGGAAGAGTAGAAAAGCGGTAAACGGTGGATGTAATAATAGCACAAAAGCTTGAGCTGATCAGACTTAGTCGTTAACTACAGACAATCGTCATTATCGGACTGATCTTCCATTTTATCTGTTCAAAAGAGGTATGAGTGTATTTTGATATTGAGGCAGCAAATAACTAATTTGTGTCTTTTCTAAATATATATATATATATATATATATATATATATATATATAAAACATCTGTCGTATTTTTAAAATAAAACTTCTGACAATATCGGGTAGTTCTACTGATAAAAAATAAAAGCATCGCATTTATAAACAGTAAAATTCATTAAGACGGACCTTATTATTCGATAACCAGCTAGTTATTGTTCGTGCCCAAACTCTGAGTAATTAGGTGACGACTGTTTCAGCATATTTTTCACATTGAAATAGTTAGAATTTTTATTTGAAATATATTGCTGCTATAAATTTTGTTGCCGGCAACAAGAATAAATTTTTCCTGATCAGATGGCCGATTGGGTAACTGGAAGGGAGTTGAATAAAATAAAGTGCTTCTAGGGCGCCAGTTTCGTTTGTTTTGTAATATTTCGTCTTTACTTCGTAAATTTTCATTCCTAATCGATTTCTTTCCTTTCGCTTATTTCTTTCTTTTATGGTCTTTTTCACTCTTCTCTCTTTCTTAATTTTACGCTGTTCAGTTTCCTTTTTGTTCCTTTATTTTGGTTTTCAGTTTCCTTTTATTTCTCTTTCTTAGTAATGAGTCTCACCTTTTCATCATTCTTTCATTTATTGCATTCACATTTTTTTCTTTTATTTTCTCAATATTCCTTTTTTTTTTTCCTCTTTTTTTCCTGTCTTTTTTTTTTTTTGCTTTTTTATTCCCTTTTTCTCCTCTTTTCCTGTTTTTTTCCCTTTCGTTCTCCCCTCTGTCTTTTTTTTTGTTCTTTTTTTTCCTTCCTCTTTTTCCCTCTTTCTCTTTTTTCCCCCTCTCGTTCTCTTTTTCTCGTTCTCTTTTCCCTCTCGTTCTCTTTTTCCCTCTCGTTCTCTTTCCTTTTCCCTCTCGTTCTCTTTTTCCCTCTCGTTCTCTTTTTCCCTCTCGTTCTCTTTTTCCCTCTCGTTCTCTTTTTTCCCTTTTTCTCTTTTCCCTTGTTCTCTCTCCTTTTCTCGTTCTCTCTCCTTTTCCCTCTCGTTCTCTCTTTTTCCCTCTCGTTCTCGTTTTTTTTCCTCTTTTTCTCCTTTTCCTTTTTCTCTCCTTTTTCCCTCTCGTTCTCTCCTTTTCCCTCTCTTTCTCTCCCTTTTCCCTCTCCTTTTTCCTCTCGTTCTCTCTCCTTTTCCCTCTCGTTCTCTCTCTTTTTCCCTCTCGTTCTCTCTCTTTTTCCCTCTCGTTCTCTCTCTTTTTCCCTCTCGTTCTCTCTCTTTTTCCCTCTCGTTCTCTCTCTTTTTCCCTCTCGTTCTCTCTTTTTCCCTCTCCCTCTCGTTCTCTCTCCTTTTCCCTCTCGTTCTCTCTCCTTTTCCCTCTCGTTCTCTCTCCTTTTCCCTCTCGTTCTCTCTCCTTTTCCCTCTCGTTCTCTCTCCTTTTCCCTCTCGTTCTCTTTTTTCCCTCTCGTTCTCTTTTTTTCCTCTCGTTCTCTTTTTTTTCCCTCTCGTTCTCTCTCTTTTCTCGTTCTCTCTTTTCCCTCTCGTTCTCCCTTCTCTTTTTTCTCTCTCCTTTTCCCTCTCGTTCTCTTTCCCTCTCTTTTTTATTCCCTCTCTTTTTCCCTCTCTCTCCACGAATTTATCAGCATATATCACATTTTATTGTAGAATAATCGAATGTTGAACTTTTGTCACTGCTTCATAAATTTTCATATATTTCCATCATTGTCCTAGAAATCACAGAAGTAATTCTAATCTATGCCCATGCCGCTTTTCATTCAGCTATTCTTGCTTAATGTTTTACTAGCATAGTACCCGTAAAATATAAAAGGATTATTTATAATTGAATAACCGCTTCTCTCGAGAATCTGTATGCTCTGTATAAACTATTACTAAAAAAAGAAGCATATGGCTATCAACGCATTTCATATATATATATATATATATATATATATATACCTAGTGAGCCAGACAAACCTACCTAGGTTTCACCTAAACGGATCGTCAGGGAAAGTTTGGCTGCTCTACGGTTGTATTGAGCTCTTTTGTTAGTTAGTTGTTACTCGTATCGGGGTTTTTTCTTTGGGCTTCAGACCTGCATCTGTGCGATTTTTTTGTCGGCAGAAGTCCATGTTTGTAGCTCTTTCTTTTTTTAAAACCTTTTTTTCCCTCGAGATTGATTTGATTAGCAAAACAAAAAATCGAGGGTTTTTCGAAACGAGTCTAGTTATATATATATATATATATATATATATATATATATATATAGTTTTAAGGTATGTTATATTTATAGGTAAAGATCCTCAACATTAGAGATACAGCTTATGTAATATATAAGTTTGAAGATTGCGTTCAAGATTTGAATAATTCTCATTGTGAAATGTGCATCCTTTAAATAGGTAATTCAGTTCTTGATCTATGAAGATGGACTCAAGAATAAAAATTTTCATGAATTAATAAAATTATATTTCCGTGTATTCTTTATTCATGATAAATTATGGATCTCAATTTTTTTGTACATGTGATTCCAAAAATTCCCATACAATTTTTTTTCTCTATTTTGGACAAGTTTAATTTTTTTATTTCATTGAAAAAAAAAAAAAAAAAAAAATGCGGATATTAGTGATGTCAGCACTTTAAATCTTTTCCTCGAACAATATAATATCCAATGTATATTTATTTATATATTTCAGTGTTCCATCCGCAAGGGAGGTAGATCAACTTAAATAATTAAATTTATGATTGATTACTTTCTTTTAGTCGTTTTAATAATCTATACAAATAGAATACTTATCTGCATTTATACAAAATGAGTTCTTCCCAAGCAAAAGGAAACAGTTTAATGAATCAGTTCCTTTACTCTTAGGTTTCAGATTGCAGTCTTTTTTGTTCAAGTCTTTCATGTGAGGCACTCAGATATCTTTGTCTAGTAAGTGATCGCCTTGCTTCAACTTGATCTTTAAATAAGTTTTGTCGTCACCGTCTTTGTCGTTTTGTTAATCTTTTTTTCTTGCGAGAGTTAATTTCATTTCACTGTTATATTAAACACATCGTTTCTTGTTAAAACAATTGAACTAAAAGCAATTTATATAATACCAGGAATAATAAGTGAATCATAAATACTTATGCCACTATTATAGTTTTGAATTCTTTGTCTCCGCTTTATTGAATCTCAATACATTGTTTCAAGAATTTTGATTCATTGCATCTCACTGTTAAAACTTTCTAAAAATTGTCGTCATCATTTACACTATTTACATTGTTCAGTCTGTTGCCCTCATCGTTATTGTCACATTAACAACGTTTCTGCCGTTGTACGCTCAGAACGTCTTCAGGGGATATTCGAACCGGACCCAGGATATCCAATCTATATGTTGGCGTTTGTGAAGATTGGTTCGATGACGTTTTAATTGTCTCCATATTTTTGGCATATTGGGTCCGTACCTATTCTTCAACATCTGCGATATGTTGTCCTCATCTTTGTCACTTTCACAATTAAAACGACATCGAACCAATCTTCAGAAACCCCAACATACAGATTGACTATTCTGGGTTTAGTTCGAAATTCAAACAAAAGAGGCTGGAACGTACAACGGCCAAAATAGAGAAAAAAAGATCGTTTGGTATTTTTGGGCAATCACATGTACAAAACTTTGAGGTTCATAATTTTCTTCAAGAATACATGGTGTTATATAGGAATCAAATGTCGTTGTCGACACTTGAGTTTGAACACAGATCACCAGAGAGGAAACACAGGCGATCCCATTTTGAATAAGTAGATCACATCGTGGTATGGCGTCTAAGTGATTACCTATACTGATTACTATTCAGTTGTTACTTTACTCTACGTACAATTTACATGAAACCTTAGGAAATGTTCTGGTCGAAAACACTAAAACTCTATATAAATCACATTACCGGAAACATCTCGCTATAAGAGAGGCCCTATATAATAAACATCTCTCTCCCACTGCCAGCTTCACCTTATTTAATAGTATGAATTGAGTATTGACAGCTTTTTTAAAAATGGAAAAACACTCACTCGAATTTTAGTGGCGAAATTTCAAAACAACACAAAAATAAAATACATCTTTCAACAGTCAGACATGAAGAGAAATTAACAACACCCCCCTGAATATATATATATATTATTTTTCAAAAATATGATTCCATCGCTACATTAGAGTTCTTATGTTTCAAAAACAGAAGCTAAAAACTTCTAATAATTATAGAAATTAAAAACTTCTAATAATTATAGAAATTAAAAACTTCTAATAATTATAGAAATTAAAAAACTTCTAATAATTATAGAAATTAAAACTTCTAATAATTATAGAAATTAAAAACTTCTAATAATTATAGAAATTAAAAACTTCTAATAATTATAGAAATTAAAAAACTTTAATAATTATAGAAATTAAAAACTTTTATAATTATAGAAATTAAAAACTTTTATAATTATAGAAATTAAAAACTTTATAATTATAGAAATTAAAAACTTTTATAATTATAGAAATTAAAACTTTTATAATTATATAAATTAAAAAAAATTAAAAATTAAAAACTTTTATAATTATAGAAATTAAAAACTTTATAATTATAGAAATTAAAAACTTTTATAATTATAGAAATTAAAAAATAATTATAGAAATTAAAACTTTTATAATTATAGAAATTAAAAACTTTTATAATTATAGAAATTAAAAACTTTTATAATTATAGAAATTAAAAACTTTTATAATTATAGAAATTAAAAACTTTTATAATTATAGAAATTAAAAACTTTTATAATTATAGAAAAAAACTTTTATAATTATAGAAATTTTTTATAATTATAGAAATTAAAAACTTTTATAATTATAGAAATTAAAAACTTTTATAATTATAGAAATTAAAAACTTTTATAATTATAGAAATTAAATTGATTTAAAGTACCCAGCTGTTTCATCCTCGAGCGAATTTTGGAATTTTAGGCTCTACTTGTGTATTGAGCACTGTTTTTGGAAAAATAAAAACAATAATACTAAAGAACTTCGGATTACTAACCTAACGGTTCTTTCCTTTTTTCTATATATTTCCACACACACACACACACACACACACACACACACACACAGTCGAATGAAGATAGCTCAGTGGTAGAAACTCTGACTGATCGGTTGGGTTTCGATCCAGGCTTGAAGTATTCAGACCTCTAGTTGCACTGAGGAGCTGTGATACAGCGAAACAGTACTGTCTGCAAATGACACACACACACACATATATATATATATATATATAGATATAGATATATATATATATGTTGTGGTACGATCCACCTAATTTACATAGTGGAGTACCGACCATATAAATATGGGTTGGTACCGGGAAGAAAGGAAGTAACAAGAGATCCAATCCAGAGACTCTGCCCGACTGCGATTAAGCCAACCCATTCTACAGGAACAGTCTTCCCAAGAATATACTAAAACTAACTGTAAATATTGTGTATCTTGTCCTTGTTTCAATACATTTTGTTTACGTACATTTTGTGTTGTATTATTATTATTCCAAGCTTATCCAAGCTTCAACAATATATATATATATATATATATATATATAAAGAGAGAGAGATGTTTCTTTGAATAATTTAGAGAAGTTTTGTGTACTTACTTTCAGTTAGATATTTTCATATTCACGGACAAGTTTTCGGGTGTCATTATTTAAGAAAATGTATTAAGATCTATCGCTACAATCTATTGTACACCTTTTAAAACATGTGTTAATTATTTATAATTAATTTTATTAAGGTTTATTTTCAATTTTTTTATACTCTCAACAACTTCATAACATATTGTGTGTGTATTTAGGCAGCATTTTTTCATTCATACATGTTTCATTAAATAATATAGACAGGTGTTAGCTATTTATTTTATGTAAATTCTTTTCATAAGGTTATGAAAAGAATTTACATAAAATAGACAACACTTGTCTATATTATTTAATGAAACATATATATATATATATATATATATATATATATATATATATATATATATATATATGACAGAGCGAAAGAGACATACGAATCAACACGGTAACTAACAGACAATCGTTATATATAAGAAGAGGGTGCTAAAAATATCTCAGTCTGGCCAAGTAATCCTCCTCCTGCAAAAAAAAAAAATCGTGGTTTAGAATTTGGGGAAAAAGGTCGCATCCAGAACTTTTCAGCATCTCTCGAGATATATACTTGTTTATTTTTATCATTTTTCTTTCCATTCATCGACCACCCTCAGTGCACTATTAACATTTTCCTGGTTATTTTATTTAAAAAAAAAAAAATGTATACGTCGACATTTTACAGGCGATGTCTCCATTTTGCTTTTCTTCCAAAGTGAGCATATCACATTTCGTCGTATGCTAATAGCAAGACGGCGGGAAAAGGGCAAAAAGACAATCGTCTGCTTTACTGATGGAGTGATAAAGTAAAAAGAAATATATATATATATATATATATATTCCTCTTATTTTTTTTTTAACTCTTTGCTTTTTATCTCATCTTCCCCGTTTCTTCATCATTCTGTTCCCAACCTTTGTTCTGTTACTTTACATTCCCATCTTTCTTACTTATCTTTATTAATACTATATTCAGTAAATTAACTATTTTCATTCAATTCTTTAGTGTTTTT